TCCAAGAGCTCCGCATTAACCTGTATGTTTCATTTCAGTATTCGGCGCGGCAAGATCAGCCAGTGTCAATCCTACTTTCTCTGATAGTAAGACCAAAATCCCAGACGCACCAGGGGCGTTCTCGAGTAGCCATTTACGATCGCACGAGCTATTCTCCGGCCAGACGATGACCTGATAGGACTGCTCAGTATTGTTCCATATACTCAAAAAGTACCACAACCTACCTCTAACTCGGGATGATTCAGTAACGTTGGCATCACGTCAGGACCCAAGTCTCGGCATACAACAACCTTGCGACGCTGTGGCATATTAGTGCCGTTCGAGACCAAGTGTGAGGCTACGGATTCTAGACGTTCAACAACCGAAGGCCGTGTAACAGCGTCGCTCATCCCAGTAGTCTGGGGGATGATTGCTTGTCGAGGCATGTATCCTTGCGTCGGAGGGACATATATATGAGATCGCGGGAAGCCGAGGCGGAGCACCACTGCTCACGCGGCCCGTACCTCCTCGATCATTGATTAAGAGGCCGGGCCGGACGAACGCGACCAAGCAAATGATGCACGTTTGGTATGACAGCGTGAACCATAACGGCGGTACAGCGTACTGGAGGAGGTTGTGAAATGCCGAATAATATGAGTGTACTATATGGATACAAGGTGAGTGCGATAACCGGTCCGTCATGTATGAATCGTTAGCATGCTCGACCTCGATAGACATGGACAATCAAACAATGCGAACATGAATCGTAGGATAAATGCGAGGGTGTACAATGCAGGGGGTAGTGCGAATGTGCGATGCAAAGCATGAGAGCTGATCGTTGACTAAATGATAAAGGTGGTAGGTGTGTAGGTGGAACTGAAGAGCTCAAGTGCGTCAGCTCGGCCCGGCAGCCACGGAGGACCTAGAGGATGGATCATCCTCTGTGTCGGACGACGAAGATGGCGATTCAGCATGCTCAATACCCCGTCGATGATGCGGCCTATGGGGGGCATGACGCACACGACGATGCAGGCGCGGAGTAGGCTCAGATTGCGTCCTTGGCATTGACGGCGGGGATTCTGACCCAGAGCGATTCTCGTCCGTCTTCTCGGAAAGCGGTGACTGCTTCGGTGTGGCACTCTGTTGGGACGCCTGTTGTTGGGCCGAAGTGATGGTCGCGAGAGCATCCCGGTCGGCGAGTGCTGAGAGAGCCTTCTCCGCTGATGCAACCATCTTTTTCAGCGAACCTGCCAAGAATGCATATTAGTATCCTCGGACGATTGGTAATAGAAACCTGAGCTACTCACGTTCGAGGCTGAGCATGAATAATGTCTACAATGGGTTGTTAGAACAAACGTGACTTCAAATAATATGCAGAAGTACCTTTCGCGCGTCCTCGTCTTGCAGGATCTCCGACTTGACCCGCTCGTTGATGTGCTCCATCTCGGCGAGCTCGTCGAGCAGCTTCTTCATATCCGGTGGTACTTTAGTAACACCCTCCGCGTCTTCCTCGTTCTCGTCATAGACGATATCGGACCCGCTTGAGACGAAGTATTGCATGTACTCCTGGAACGTCCGTGCCCCTCGCACGATCTCCCCTGGCAGAGCCTCCAACGCACGCTGGGCAAGCTCTTCGGTCTCCTTCAGTCGTTCTTCAAGCGGCTTTCCCTGGGATGCATCGTTCGCGGAGCCTGAAGACTTCGTACGCTCGTGCCCATCTGAGGGCCCATCCTTTCGCGACTGGCTTCTCTGGCTTGGGCTTCTCTGGGAGCTCTGGTTGAGCGCTGGCCGTGGGCGCTGCTTCGGATCTTGCAGGTGTCGTTTACGGTACTTCTTCACAGCCTTGTCGAAGACACGCGAGTGCAACGCGCTCTTGTACCGCGAGGAGCTCGCCTCCTGTAGGACTGAGGCGGCGTCAGAGACTCAGCACCTCAGGTAGAGCAGGAGAGGACGTACCAGACACCACAATGGTCAGAGTACCGACGCCTAACAGGGACCACACGACGAATACGGAACGGCCCGCAGGCGTGACCGGCGCAAAGTCACCATACCCAGTAGTGACGAAGGCACAGAAACCTGGAGTAGCAAGTCAGTCAGCGTGGACCCGGGCAACCATAGAGGGAACTTACAGAAGTACATGGCACTACCGTATGGCCACCCCTCCGTAGCAGAGAAGATCCCTGACCCGACCTGCATGGAAATACAAGATAAGAACAAGATCAAAGGGTGAGAGCATGTTATTTCCTCACCGTCCAGAAGAGGGAGAATAAGATGAACGCGATGCTGAGCTAGAAAGTGCGCGCATGTGAGTTGACGCACTGCTCCCGCGTTACCAGAAAACCCACCTTGACATAGTAAGCCTTCGTCTCCTCAGCCTCCATCTCGTTCACGAAGTTCTCATACGTCCAAGCGGATATTTGCGACGGTCCGCGGGAGAATTCTTTCAGCCAATTCGCCGCTGGATTGATCTCCACGTCCACCTTTGCGGTCGCGTCTTGCCCCTCTGCTCTGCCATTGCCAGGATCATCGGCTGGACGCTCCTCGGACGAGGACCGGGGTGACTGCGGACTACCGGGGCTCGAGTTCCCGCTTGCGCGTTCACGTTCTGGGTCCCTCTCTTCCTCGTTGATAGCGTCGGGCAACAACTGCGGCGCATGCGCATGACGGCCGGCAACCGCGACAGCGAACTTCGTGACCATTGCCGCCATACGCCCGAGCTGTGCATGGGTAGGTGTCTGGGGATGCGACGGCCATCCGCTGACGATATTGTCGCGGAAGGCATGGGCGGCGTGAGCGCGCGACAGCGCCGGGGCTATCTGCTCCTCGTGATCAGCTGGAGGTGGGCTCTCTGTACCGTGCTTGTGTGCTCGTCCTTCCTTCCGCCGCTCGCCGAGGTCCAGGAACATGTCGAGGGGTACTCCAGCTTCGAGCGCGGCCTCTTCCAGCTGCGCGTTCGACAATGCGTTGACGTTGAGGTGCATCCCGTGATGACCCGTGAGCCGCGTCTCGACGGAGTTGAGCGTGGCGGTACGTTTGATAGTGGTGCCCACACGCTTTAAGAACGGCACCCGCCTGCTGACATCCGGTACGACGTCGAGGAAGCGTAATCCCCGGCGGCCACCTCGACTCTCCTCCTTATCGGAGACCCAGATGGGCAGGCCTGCATCGCGAAGGCGGAACTCCACCGCGCGCTGCCAACGAGCTTCCCAGCGCCTGAACCGCCGGGCGTCCCGCCGTGTCTGGCGCAGCTTGCGCATACGGCGCCTGTACTCCACCTCCATGGCTTCCAGGGCAGTCTCGCGGAACATGGCGATGACGACACCGACATTGATGACGCCGAAGAGGATGTAGAAGCAAGTCCATACGCGAGCCCCTGTAGAGTGAGGCACGATGTCGCCGAAGCCGATTGTCTCGATGGAGACGACGGAGAAGTAAAGGCCGTTGATGAAGGAAAGATGGAGGAGGATTGAGTTGATGAGCGCGCCAAACGCGATATAGACGAGGAGCACAATGAAGACAATCATGAGGGAGCGTTGTTTGCGCGTCAACCCACTCCCTAAATAGCAAGGATTAGCTGTCTGCAGTAAAGTCATAGTCTGTGCACCCACCTCGCCTCGAGAAATCTGGTGTACGAATGAAGTCGACAATCAAGCTGATGTTACTAACGGTGGATGCGATAGTAGAACAAAGAGTCATCCAGAAAGCCTCGCCATAAGTGAAACCATCGTCGAAGCGGTGCTCTACGCCAAACACTGTCACAGCGACGATGTTAATGAGATCTGAACTATCTATCAGTGCCAACGGAGAGAGATTATACTTGCATGGACGTACCGTGAATGGTCAGAGACACAATGCACACGAGCGTGACCGTTTGGACACGCTTCTCGAGAAAACGCAGGACAAGGGCAATATTGGCAATGAGCGCACATGCGATAGAGATGGCCATGCCGACCTCTAGGATTACCGGGTTCTTCCTCGTCTCTACAGTGGTGTGGTTCTCGGTTCTGATGTACCACCGCTCAGTGAGTCCGGGGATCTCTAGCAGAATTGAAAAGGGTATCACGATCCCGGTCAGGATAGGCGTCCAGCGGTAGTTTGGGGTAATCTGATCAATGTCATTATTCTTCATATCTGTGGGCCAGATGTAGGACTTGATCCGAGAGTACCACGATCCATTCGCAATGGTCAGATCGTCGGACGAGCCGCTGCCATCGACAGGTTGACCCGACGTGTGCGTGCCCTCGTGATGGTAGATACGCCGAACGCCTCGGTAGGGCGTGTTTGCACTCAAGATGCCCTGTGCAGGCGCTTGGTTATACCGATCACCTTGGCTCGAGGAACGAGCTATATCGTTGTCGTCTTCTGGAACATCCGCCTTCTCCGGATCATAGGGGTGTCTTGTCTTTCGCCGACTCAGTAGAATAGGGAATAGAAGCAGTGGTGCGCCAAAGAGGCCCATGGCTTGTGTGAGCGGGTGAGAGGATAGACAGGAGGTGGCTATGGGCATATGAATCAGTACTTTCTCCCTTGTACGCATTTAAAAGAAACTTCTGTGCGTGCCTCATTGAAACCTCATGGTTGAAGAGGGTAGGAGAGAACTACTGGCGAAGAGTATGGTAAGATGGGGTCCCCCGCTAGTTGGGTGTTCTGTTGAACGCGAGGTATACCCGATCAGACGCCTTGCCTGCGTCTGTTCGAGTAGCAGAAAGCACTCACTCAGTGAACATGTACTGATGTGAATTGTTGGAGGTTCGTTGCAGGAGGATGTGGAGGTCGAGCGTCGAGTGGTTGGTAGCAGACCCTGGAGACCGTGCGTATACTGTAATAGCCGGCTATGAACGCATGAGGCGCAGTGGCGCACATTCGCGCGCGGCGTCTAAGTTCTAACACCGTGGGAAGTCCCAAATTTGGTATCTTCCGCTGATGGCTTTGATCCGCGCGTTGCTGTTCCTCTTCGATTCCGTCTTCAAAATTCATCCAAAAACTTCAGAACATCGCAGCGAGGCTGGAGATGTCATAGATGACCACCGCAGGGGTCGAACCTGCAATCTCTTAGACGGCTACTATGAACCAATCGTAGTCAGACGCGTTGCCATTACGCCAGGCGGCCGTTAGGGAATGTAATCTAAGTGTAAATACAACCACCAGTTCTCTGCACTGCCACAGGGATAAGTGCCAATATGAATATTCTTGTATCTCCTTGCTCGAATAGACCAGCGCACTGAGTCCGAAAGTCGATTGCGCATTGCAACTTTGCATCTCCCGCCGACCCCCTCCACATCATGTCGTTGGAAAAGTATCAGACTGAGCTCATTGAGCATGGCATGTCCGCAGGAGCCTTGAAGTTTGGCACATTCACCTTGAAGTCGGGCCGGTCCGTCCTGTCCTCAGCCTCTCTCCTCCGATCAGGACCCTTACCGCGCTGCTTTCTCTCAGCACCTCTCCGTACTTCTTCAACGCTGGACTGCTTGCATCTGGACCTGTTCTGGACACTTTGTGCTCTGCATATGCCGCGACCATCGCGGATGCGCTCAAGTCTTCCCCGGGCCTGCCTCAGTTCGACGTGCTCTTCGGCCCTGCATACAAGGGCATTCCGTTCGCAGCGGGGACCGCGCTTCTCCTCCACCGTGACCACAAAATCGACGTTGGCTTTGCGTATGATCGCAAGGAGGCAAAGGACCACGGAGAGGGCGGTATCACCGTCGGGTCACCCATCAAAGGCAAGCGCGTTGTGATCCTCGACGACGTCGCGACCGCCGGCACTGCGATCCGAGGTGCAATCGAGACCGTGAAACGCGAAGGAGGCGAGGTCGTTGGTGCGGTGCTCATGTTGGACCGCCAGGAAGTCGGTAAGGAAGGGAAGAGCAGCATCGCGGAGGTGGAGGAGCTCCTTGGCGGAAAGGGCCGTGTGCCGACGATCCTCAAGATGAAAGACCTGATGCGATGGCTCCAGGAGCACGGCCGAACCGAGGAGCTTGCGAAAATGCAGGAGTACTGGGAGCAGTACGGCGCGAAAGACCAAGCATGATCGAGGATATTGCCGGGAAGAGTATTCACATCATGGATTCCGCGTGCGCGGCCAGAGGACCGTGACGATTGTAGGTTGTTTCGAGGGGCATCTAGCCCGTGAAGTACGCAAGCAAGGTATGCTACTCAATTTCCGTCCCAGCATTCGTTGATTGGCTCACAAACACCACTGGCAGATGTAGACTACTGGAGAAATGCATGCCGAGTCGCCACACCGCTAGATGTGACCCGGAAGGGTACGTTAAGACACTCTGTGCTCTTTGCTCCTGTGACCTGTGTTGTCTGGCGAATCTCACGCATAATGTGCCTATGCGCACTCACTGTGGCTTGTTCAGAGATCAGCGTGCGGGGATTTTGCGTTTGGTTTTTGACATTCAAAATTCAGCACCACGACACGAACAGCACTCGGGTGCAAATTTCAATGCATGCGAAGGAGATCCGTCCGCTATTTCTGAACGCGCTTGTGTCGCATTATCCACGGCTGTCAAGCACACTTGCCTGGTCGATAGCATGCCAGTGCTTGACCATTGAGGATCGTTTAGATCTAAGTATTTGTGTCGGTTCCGTCTACCCCTCTTACGACAACGGTAGCTCAGGCCGTCTCTCCCTCAGCCTCCTCGTTGGAACCAGTATGGCGCCTCTGCCTACTTTCGCGATGTTATATGTGACGTATATACGCTTTGCAACGCGTCGACACTTATGCGAAGCATAAATGTACATGCTAAAGCGTGACAAATTGGAAGACGGAGTGGAGGCCTGATTTGAAGTACTGTAGTCCTTGACAGAAAGTGGCCACGCGAGACATCCGAGTCCACGGTGAGACCTCTCGATCACCTTGCTCCTGCTTGTCTCCCAACGCGTCCTTCGGTCTCATGTCATCAATATTCTCACCCAGGTTGCACACGATGTGAAAGTCACATTAAAAACCGTATATATGTAGTAAAGCCGTATACGAGGTCGTACACACGGACGCATCCAGTCCGAGTCATACCCTGGTACCTAAACATTCACCTTCTCCTGGCTCGAATCTGAACGCCTTTGCTCCTCTAACTCTTGGACCCGATACTCGTCATCGTCGATCACGTCTTCGTCCTCCATTTCTCGCGGAAGGATGACATTGAGGAAAGAGGCCAAGATGCCCGCAACCAAGACTGCGTGTACGTGTGCGTGAACAATGAAAATCAGCTCGAGTCAGTCACGTCGACGCAAAGCAAACATCGAGGACAGAATAAGGGGGAAAAATGAGCGAGGGCGAGGAAGGAGACGTACAAGGCGTGCTGAGGATGATCGTGATCGAGTTGAAGAGCCCCTCGAGGCCGCTGTTCGGGTTTTTAACGCGGTCGAAGAGGTGCGTGAAAATATCGGGCACAAGCAGGTCCGCGAGGCCGAATGATAGGGCCGCCGCGAGCACGAAGCGATCTCTCCGGGTAAACCGCGCGAACGACAGCACGCGCAGTCCAGAGACCTGTTGAGCCACGATGGTTAGTATACCCGGCCCATTCAGTCTCAGAGTATCACCGGTGTACGTACTGCGACGGAGGCGAAGAGGAACGTCGTAACACCACCGAGGACTGAATTGGGGACTGAAGGGTAATGGAGGATATAAGCATTTGATCAGCAAAATATTGACGACAGTGTGTGCCCGGCACTGCTTACTGGCTAGGAAGACACCGGAAATCTTGCCCAGAACGCCAAACAAGATCAGGAAGGCACAGCACCAGCGACCCGCAGAGCGGTTCGCGCACCGCGTGATAGCAATGACACCGTTATTCTGCGAAATGTATGTCAGTACTCAGCCATTCTACATGTAGGGAAGGTAGGACCTGAGCGAAAATGGACAGAGGCGTCACAGTGAACAGCGCAGAGATGAAGCCACCGATGCCATCGCTCTGTGCACCAACGTATCAGCTCGTTATATACCGAAGAAAGGATTAGCGTGGGTACAGACCAAAATGCCACCCTGAACCCGCGAGTCGAACTCAATGCCATCGACCGGAAGGCGCGAGACCTCCGCCGACGCGGTAATATCACCCGTGGCCTCCATTGCCAAAGAAACTGACCAGATGTCAGACTTTGCTCATTCAGAGTCGAGCGAGCACATACCATACACGGCGAGCACTGTTTCCAGAAACATAAGATAGAGGATCGACGGTTAGTGGTGCATAGACACTCACTAGGCAGAATAGCAGGGGGATATACCCCAATCTTGAACGTGTGCACCCTATGCCATGACGATCAGACAACCCAAACTGCGCCTGAGAGACAGCTTGAAGAGGAAGAACAGACCAGAGGAAGGTGATGACTGGCGCAGTCGTGATGCTGGACCCGTCAATGTATCCGGCTGCTCCTGAGACGATGCACCCGACGGCGAGGCCGACGATGATGCTGATATTCTTCAAGAACGGAGAGCCGAAAAGCTCTGTCAGGATAATGCTTATGAACGAGAGGAAGCCCAAGCCAATGAACTCCGGCGAGCCCCACGGCAGTGGGCGTGGGGCGAGCGTCGTCGGACAAAGCTGAAATATGCCGCTGGTGGGGAAGCTTTGGCATCCGTTGGATCCACCTCCCCAGTCAAGGGCGCCTGAGCTCCCTACGAGAGACGTTCCGATAAGCAGAATCACAGTGCCTGCACGTTATGTGACTCGTGAGTAATGGTCCGATGTTGCAAGGACGAAAGGGACGTACCTGTCACGATCGGAGGGAATATGCGTTTCAGAATACGAGGAGGGACGAACGCTAGGCCGATCTCAAGGAATGAACAGATGAGAGATGTCCCTGGTTGCGAAGCTCAATGAATGTGCCATATCATTGTTAGAAGGTATTGGCATACCTAGAACTTTGCCATAGGCGTCCGGGCATGGGTCGCGAGTGATGGTGCCGTCTGGGGCGGTGGTAGACGAACAGGTGCCATCGCGGTACATGGCATCGAAGATCTTTCACAGATGTGAGGTTGGTGAGGCTACATACTACCAAGAAAGATGCGCGTACGGCATTGGCAGTAGACAGGGTTGAGAAACTCGTCCCAACGACTGAGTTGATTGTCAGAGCTCGATTTCCTAGGTTCCGTACTGTGCACAGTGTGCGCACCTGAGATAAGTCCAGTTCCCAAATAATAGCCACCAAAGAGCGGGATGCGCGAAAGCTGAACTAAGCTCAGGATGCCTGGACAATGCATGTCATAATTTGGTAGAGATTAGCAAAGCCACCAGCACGTACCACATCCGATTAGTGACGCTGAAATCATGTACGCCGACGTCGCGCTATCGAGGTTGAGAGCGCTTGCGAATATGATCGGCGGGGTGATGAGGCCTGTCAGAATAGAGCATCACTCGCCACTCTCCGCAGAGCGGTACGCTTCTGTGAACATACCGGCAAGCATGGCGAGAGCATGTTGGAAGCCGCTGAAGATGGCCAGGGTGAGGGGAAGTTCTGCATCCAGTGCATAGAATGGTGGAGGACGTCTGGAGCGCTTGGTGAACGGAAGAGAAGGAAGGCACAGCCAGGCATAGTCGTAATCGCCGAGCCAGCCATGTCGAGTGGTCAGCTTGCGCTTCACAAAGGCTGCCCTCTCCCGGAAGCCTCGCTTGGAGGCGTGCAACTCTGGAGAAGGGATGGCCTTTGGCTGAGAGGCATGCGGGGACGCGGAGCCTGAGGACGCCATGGGTCTAGCGGCGGGAGAGTAGGGGCAGCACTAGTACCTTCGAGCTGCCGGAATACTTATGTCTGCGTTTGATAGAAGTCCGTCCGCGTTGTTGGGGCCCCTAGGGCGGTGCCCACGTAATGTCAACTGTGGGATATTGTTAAACACGGTTCCCTGGGTCTTCCCCGCCATATGCGAGACACCCACCAAAGACCCCGAATTGCCAGACATGTTGTGATTCGGAATATACGTCTCTCATCCTTAGACATGGCCCGGATAGCATTCATGCCCTCCGATCCTCCGCCGCTAGTAGAATCCCTGCGTTGCACTGAAGGACTCGGAGTCAGCAGAGCTCTGTTCAAGCTACCGAATCCTATAGCAGCTCTGACACCGCATATCCGAATGCGCGCATTTGTCGCGAGGCCAACGCCAGGTACTCACCA